GCAGCCACACGCAGAGGCCCTGTTCCCTTCCATTCGCAGAGCAGACAGACAGGAAGACATCAACTCCAGAATGTGCTCAGCGATTGGTGCAGGGCGGTAGTTAGGGATGATTTTAATTTTTAAAATGCTTTCGTCGATTTTCCTAACCGTGTCCAGTTTGGGGGCGTGTTGCTTGTCTGGTGAAGAAAGGCACGCACCCAGTGTGTGGAGATGCAGGGCCGGGGCGCTCCAGCGGCTGGCGGGAGCGGACGCCGTTTGAGTGCGCGTGCCCCGCGGGAGAGGCGGCGGGAGGGGAGGCTGGGCCCGGCTCTGTCGCCGGGCTCTGTGGGTCCTGCGGGAGCTTCGTGTATGGCACGCGCACCCGAGCACGCTGGTCCCGCAGCGCAGGCGGTCAGACAGCGTTTTCTCGCCGCAGGACGACAAGTGGGAAAAGAAGTGCCAGAAGATCTTCTCCTTCGCCCACCAGACCATCAGCGCCCTGATCAAGGCCGAGCTGGCCGAGCTGCCCCTGCGGCTCTTTCTCCAGGGGGCTCTGGCCGCCGGGGAGATCCGCTTTGAGAATCACGAGACCGTAGCCTACGAATTCATGTCCCAGGTGAGGGGCTGCCCCTGCCCTGGGCTCCCTCTTGAGGGGCTCGTGGCCGCCCCCTTGTGGCCGCCCCCGGCCCACTGCCTCGGGAGGTCTTAGTGCTGTGGTCACGCTGGCTGGCGGGCCTGGCGACGGGAAATCGACCATTGGCTGGGTGCTAGTGAGACTGAGTATCTCCAGGTGGGTCCCGGCGAAGCTGTCGTGGGGGACAAAGGTCCACAGGTAACTCGGTTGGGGAGCCCTGGGTCAAGTGATGATAAGACCCGCTTCCTTGTTGCAGCTGCTCTGTGTCCTCCCTCTGTCTCCATGCCTCCTGCCTGTCCCCGGGGGCCCATGTGCTCTGACCCGGAGGGACCTCGGAGGCTCCCGGCTGGGGGTCTGGTGGGAACGGCCTTGGGACGCGCCAGAGTCCGAGGTGGTGCGCGAAGGCCCTCTGACCTGTGCCCTCAGGCCCCCTGCCATGGTCTGTGTCTCTCAGGCCCCCCCCCACGACCTGTGCCCTCAGGCCCCCCCACGACCTGTGCCCTCAGCCCCCCCCTCCACGATCTGTGCCCCCAGGCCTTCTCCCTCTACGAGGACGAGGTCAGTGACTCCAAAGCCCAGCTGGCGGCCCTCACCCTGATCATCGGCACCTTCGAGAGGATGACGTGCTTCAGCGAGGAGAACCATGAGCCCTTGAGGACGCAGTGCGCGCTCGCCGCGTCCAAGCTCCTGAAGAAGCCCGACCAGGGCCGCGCCGTGAGCACCTGCGCCCACCTCTTCTGGTCCGGCCGGAACACGGACCGAAATGGGGAGGAGGTGAGGCCCGTCCTGAGCTGCTGCGGGGCGGGCGGGGGCGGGGCAGGCACGGGCCCTGCGGGGCAGGCGCTGGGAGGGCGCGGACGCCCGGCAGAGGAGGTCGCTCTGTTGTGTCACGAGAGACGGAGAGGAAAGGGGTGTGCAGCGTGAAGTTCCGGAAGTGAAGCCTCCACTTGGAGACACTGTGGCCCAGCAGGTCCATGCCGCGGCCTTCAGCAGGGCTCCCTGGTGCCAGTGCACCTTGGGGGGGTGCCCATGCGGCGCGTGCCGCAGACCCTGCATGTGCACGCGGCGCAGGTGTGGGGCGGCCCTGCGGCGTCGGGCGGGTCTCCGCACGCGCTCCCCACCGCCCCAGCGCCGAGTCCTGCCTCTGTCACAGCCTGCTCGTTCTCGCAGTGTCTCAGCTCTTTTGGTTATTGGTGTCCACGTGTCCTGGTGACCTGTGTCCCCTGATCTTCACTGTTGCTGCTGCAATGGCTTTGGGGTGCCGTGGACTGCACCCATGGCAGTGGGAACTCGGTGGCCGGCTGTGTCCTGACTGCGCCACCAGCCAACCGTTCTCGTGTCTCCCTCCCTCTCCTTGGCCTTCCTGCCCCTCGGCTGGCGGACTGCAGTCCAGTGTCGCTGGAGCCCGTTCGAGCCGGGAGCCAGGACGGTGGGCCCGCTGCAGGGCGGCGTTCTGGCAGTGCGGTGGGCTGGGCCGACCCGCGGTGGTTCTGAAGGGCGCCTGCTCGTAAATGCAAAATGTGTGTGAATACACAAGTAATGTATTCGCTGTGGAATAGAGCTGTGAGCTGTAAAGTATGGAGACTCAGGGTCCCCGTGGCCCCGCAGAGCCCGACGAGGCACGGGGCTGCTGCGTTCGTCCCCGCGCGTGGCCGGGGTGTTTGTGGGTGCCCGTGCCCCTCTGTGACCGCGCCCCCTGCTTTCCAGCTGCATGGCGGCAAGCGGGTGATGGAGTGCCTGAAGAAGGCGCTCAAGATCGCCAACCAGTGCATGGACCCCTCGCTGCAGGTGCAGCTCTTCATCGAGATCCTCAACAGATACATCTACTTTTACGAAAAGGAGAGCGACGCGGTGAGTGAGCCGGCGTCTCCCTCGCGCTCTTGGGTTAGATGCATGCGGGAGTTCGCCGTTCTGATGGTTTCCTTTCTGTTTGCAAGAGCTGGGGTGGGAGATTGCCCCTGCGGGTGTCTGATTCTCCAGAAAGCTGCCTCTGTCTGCACAGGTGCATCTCTAACAGAAAAACCATATGAGCAAGGCAGTTCCTATCTCTTTTGCTTGGGAGGATTTTTGAAAAGCAGCCCTGTTCAGAAAACACGGAGTGGCTCACAAACGCCGAGCAGTGGGCGGGCGGGCAGGCGGGCGGGCGTGCCAGCGTGCCGTCCGTGCGAGTGTAAGTCGCTCCCAAGGGGCCAGTGCCGCCCGGTCCTGCTGACAGCGCCGCGCCGGCCGAGGCTGGCAGCCCGAACCAGGGCGGCCATGCTCTCGTGCGGCTTCGTGGTACTGCGAGTTTTCACTGCCTCTTCTTCCTGGGGCAGAGCGGCCAGTTGTTCAAACCAGGAGGCTGTTCGCACCTCTCGTTTCCATAGTTACTCTGGTAATTGACGAGAGTGACACAAGCTCCTCGAAACGTTTTTATTGACTCGCCTTTAATTCCTTGTGGTACCTGTTTGACCGTGAACTCGTACGTGCTCTTGCAGGTCACGATTCAGGTGTTGAACCAGCTCATCCAGAAGATCCGAGAAGACCTCCCCAACCTGGAGTCCAGTGAGGAGACGGAGCAGATCAACAAGCATTTCCACAACACGCTGGAGCACCTGCGCCTGAGGCGGGAGTCGCCCGAGTCCGAGGGGCCCATCTACGAGGGCCTGGTCCTCTGAGGGCCCGCCGCCCGGGGCCGCCCGCCCCCTCCCGCGCACAGCCCCCGAGGGTTTCATTACGCCAGGCCTCCCTCCCATAGATCGTGCCTTCCAGACATGCCGAGGTAGGTTTCCCGTCTCTGACCGCTGGTGCGTTTGACCCGGCACCTCCGGACACTCGCCTTCAAGACCTTAATAAAGTCCCTCCCTTCGTAAGTGTTCAGGCCCTCCGGCCGCCCGCAGTAGCCTGGTCGGTTTGCTCCTTAAAGAGTTCCTGTGACCTGTTAAGGAAAAGAAAAAACCCAGACAAATGCTTAAAAACCACTTCTCACGGCTACTAATGAAGCTCTCCCCCCTCCCTTCCTGTTCCGTTCCACTGTTGGTTGTGTAACTTCCCTCCCTTCCCCGCGTGGGAGCGCTAACCCGGAAGTGTCTGTCCCTGTCCCCTAGTCCCGTTGGCCATTAATTCAGACGAAAGGATTACGGTATGTGGAATTCAGCTTGGGCTTTTCCCTAAATGCAGAGTAAGGCCATGTACAATATTTTCCCTGACACTAGAATATATTAATGCATGTTTGGGAGTTTTAAAGCACCGTGGTCAAAGCCAGAAGCTCTATTTTGCATATTTGGACTCAGCCACCCAGTAAGAATCTATGTTGTCCTCTTGACATATTTATCAAAATAATTTTTGTTCTTAATAGTATAAAATAGAAAATTTGTGACCTATATAATTTATGTATAACCTTCATTATTGTAAATTTAGGGGGAAATGCATCATACAGTTATCATGATTTTTTTTTGCACCAGTGAAAATAAAGTTGCTATTAACAGTGGTGGACTCTCGCACTTGATTCATTGAAGGGACGGTCGATGCCCGTGGAGTGGGCCTGTTTTAGCCTTGCCGTCACCACCGGGCTCTCGGCTTCTGCGGGACTCGTCACACCCGCGTTCTGCTGGCCTGGGCTCTCGCTGCCCCGAGCAGCCAGGCCTGGGGGAGCCTTCCGGGGTGGCTGCTGGAGTCTGGCCGCTTTCTGACTCTCCCTGAGCCGGGTTAAACTGGGCGTTCCCTCCCGTTCCTTATTTTCATTTTTCTCCGTATTTTACTTATCCTTGTGATGACTCTGTCTCCTCACCTGTGAACTGGGGAGAATAGTATCCCCCCCCCTCGCAGGTAGGGTTTTGAGGAGTGGGATCATGCAGGTCAAGTGCAGGGAACTCACCAAATGTTAGCTGTCATCGGAGGTTACAGTGCCTTTGATGGACAAATATGGGCAAAACATACCGTTAGTAAATCTGAGCCGACATTTTTGAAAGTGCTGCGTGTGCGCGTGTAGTTGCAGGGGGAGGAGGGAGGGGGATTCTGGGTGGTGAAAGGCTGCGAGCCGCCTCGTGCACCGTTACTGGGGTACACCGTTGCTGGGGACGGTAGCCGAGAGGCGGAGAGACGGCAGAAGGAAGTCGAACGACTGTGTGTGTTGGCTCTCACTCCGCCTTTTTCGCCCCACCCCATTTCCAGGCATGGCTTGGTAGTTTTTTTGGAAATTATCCCGAATGACCCAGTTGAATTTCTTCCACTGTCGTTCCAGTGAACGGGCGAGAACAGCAGTCCGCCTGGCCAGGAGGTGGCGCCCAGGTGCTGTCACGGGGGGCGGGGGGAACCCAGGCTGGAGAGGGTGGGGCCACGCAAGCCTGCTTTTGATTGGTCTGGGCACTCGCCCTCTGTCCAATCAGGAGTGCCCGCGTCATCACGTTCCCGGGCTGGGCGGTGCCCGCGGGAATTTGAAATGGCTGAAGGGTTGCTGGCGGGGTTTGGGCTGGAGTCCGAAGCCATGGGGCCGCATCCGGAGCGCACGGGCTGGGCGGCCGAGGAGGAGCCGGCGCCCCTGGAGAAAGGTGAGTGCCCGCCAGCCGGCGCGAGGAGCCAGCGGCAGGCCGTGCCCGCGGCCCTCCCAGGGCGCCTTCGGGTGGCGGCGGCGGCTGCGCTCCGCCTGGTCTTCGCGGACCCCGCAGCTTGGGCCAGGCCGGGCCCGCCACCCGCCCTGCGTCTCTGCGTCGGCTCCCCGGGCCGCGTGACCCTCCTCCTCGGCCGGAGCTCCCCGAGCACCGAGGGCAGGGGACGCGCCCGGAGTCCCGACTCCGGCCGGGAGGCTCCAACGCTTCTTCTCCCGGCGTTGGAAGCTCGCTCGGGCTTTCGCTTTGGCCTTTTCCGCGGCTCTAAGTAGTGGAGAAGCGTAGGGGACTTCAGGCCCCGGCTGCCCCGCGTGCGCAGCCCCTGGGCCCCGCTCCCCCATCGGGAAAGCTGTCTGCGGTCCTCCCGAGGGGTGGGGGTGGGGTGAGGTCGCGGGGGGAGAGGGACGCTTTCAAAGGGGCTGCGCCGGAGACAGGCGTCCATCTGTTGTTACTCTTTCCGAGCGCACCGCACAGAAGTTACCACCTGAACCATCTGCAGGCCTGCAGCCGGGTGGCGTTAAACGCAGTCACGTCTCCTGCGTCCGCCACCGTGCCCAGAACTCTGCGGCCAGTCAACCTGAGCTCCGGTGTGGGTGGGACAGGGCTGATGGAAGGGAACCTCCCTGGGCGATGTGATCAGGGCGGGGGCCTGCCCCTGGCTCTTACTTCCGCAGTGAAAGGTTCTAAGCCGGCTTCGTTTCTTTGCATTTAGGTTGACACACCTTTGAGATCCCAGAAGTGATTCCCCTCAAGGTGGGGAGGGGCTCTTAATCCTCCAGGGAGCACTTAATCTTAACCCTCCTGTGACCCCCTCCCTCCTTGCTCTCCCCACCTCCACACACGCAGCCTCCCTCCTGATCCCACCTGCACACAGGAAACGGCCGCCCGCCGCCCCAGGAGCCCTTCCCAGCCTGTTGACTTCTTGTCGCTCACAGGCGCAGCCTCTGTTCGGCCCCAGTCAGTGACTGGGAGGTTCTCTGCAGGCTCGGCCGCTCTCACGTGACAGAATGGACACGGCACCCGTTTCTTACACTCAGGCCCTGTCTCCCCGACCCCAGCCCCGGCCCCCAGCCGTCTCCTTTCTGCCTACGTGTGTTTTGACCAAGTCGCCCCTGTGGGTGGGGTCTCACCGTGTTTTCCTCTCTGTGACTGGCCACTTCCAGTTAGCGCTGCGCCCACGAGGCTCATCCATGCTCCCTTTTCAAGGCGGAGTAGTAACGCTCCCTTGTGTGGGCGGCCAGGTGTCTGTGCCCTTTCGTCCATCGTGGGCCACTCGGGCGGCCTCCGAGTTCGGGCCCCTGTGGGGCAGGCTGCTCTAACGTGGGTGGGCATGTGTCCCCTGGAGACCTGCTTTCCCTCGCCAGGGGCAGCGGACCCAGAGGGGGCATGGGGGGCCATGGGCAGCCGTGTGTGCGTAAGTGTGTGAGGGGCCGCCACGTGCGCCCCACGCCGGTGCCCCGCAGCAGTACACACGGGGCCGGTTCTCCACTGCCTCGCCGGCACCGGTTTTCCCCAAGGCTCTTCTTGGTGCTTTTTGAAAGAAGCCGCCTCCTGGGCGTGAGGGAGGCCTGGGTTCGTTAGCGATTGCATGTGGTGGGGTGGGCGCTGTTGGGAGTGCTGGCTGATGACTGGGAGAAGGCGTCTGTTTTCATCTTCCCTTCCTGGGGGAGGGCACTGAGGCAGGGAGAGACTGTCCTCTGCGGCTGTGTGCTCCGGGCACCGCGGGGGGTGGCCTCGACGGGCCAGGAGGCTGGAGGAAGGAGGAAAGAACGGTGTGGGGGACAGAAAGGCTGCATGCGATAGTCCCAGGACCCCCGTAAAACCCCGGCCCCTGCTGGGCAGCCTGCGCCCCCGCTCAGCGTGGAGGTTTTGCTGCCGTCTGTGCATTAATGACGACCCGAGCCCGAGCACATTGCTGGCCGCAGCGAGAATCATCGCTGTCCGGGCACGGTGAGCTGGGTGCCTCCCCGGAGTTCGGGGGCAGCCCTCCTCTGCCTCCTGGGAACCCTCACCAGCACAGACCTCGCGGGCACGCACCTCCGTCCTCACCGTGCGCCGAGGGCATGGCTTTGGGGTCGCACTGGGGTCTGGTGAAACCCGCTTCTCTGGGCCGCGTCAGAGCGGGGTGGATAAGCGCCGCCCCAGACCCGGGTCCGCGCCCCATTGGTGTTTCTGAGTCCCGGGCGCCAGCTGCTTGGCCGGCTGACCCGGGGGCCCTCTCAGCCTTGTTCCAGGACGGAGGCTCGTGCAGCGACTGCAGCGGGGACAGCGGGCCCGGGTCCCGGTTACCCAGCTTCGTGCTGCAGGGGAAGACCAGCTTCCCGGAGCTGTTCCAGACGGACCACCTGCTGTTCTACGAGCGCTTCTCGGCCTACCAGGACTACATCCTAGGTGAGTGGCTCTCGGCGGCTCCCGGTGCACGGGCCCCCAGACTGCCAGCGGTCGGCTCTCCGCAAGGGGGGGTTCGTGGGGCCCCCCGCGTCCCTCTGCCGGGCACAGTCTGAGTTCTGTGTGTGTGTGATGCGTTTGCAGCGGACTGCAAGGCCTCGGAGGTGAGAGAGTTCACCGCCGAGTTCCTGGAGAAGGTCCTCGAACCGTCCGGATGGCGGGCCGTCTGGCACACGAATGTGTTCGAGGTGCTGGTGGAGGTGAGTCTAGTTCCGCCGTTCAGCCACTTGTCCCCAGCTAAAAGCACTCTCCTCAAACTGTTACAGCCAAAGTGCTTATTTTTAATTCAAGTTTACAAGCTGATTGAAAATAGCATGTTTCCCCTTCAAATTGCCAGGGCGTGTGAGGTGTCCGCACATTTGAAGACCCTGAGGAGGGGCTGTCGGGGGTTGGGGCGTCTTTCGTCCCTGTGCCTTTTGACCTGGGGACCTGGGTGACAAACCCGCCAGGGGCGGGGGTGTTTGGGACCACTGTGGGAAAACGGCGCCCTAGCTATGAAGTCAGCGGAGTTTCAGTTCGTTTTTCTCACCTTTGTGGCAGCCCATGAAATAGCTCAAGCCAGACAGACGTTTCAGAAACCAGCCTGGTTTCTGCCTAACGCATCTGGCGACTCGGGCTGCTCGCCGGATGCTGCGGCGCGCTGCAAGAGGGAGAGACCGTCTCATTTTTCAGCTGACTGGGCCTTTTGCATGAAGTGTGCACCCTAATTATAGCTGGGGAGTTTCCCCGGTGTTTGTTAGCTGGACCACAAGAAACCCCGTTAAACTAAACTGTCAAACCAGAGCGTGGTCACCGGTCGCCGCACAGCTCCCAGGGCTGTGCAGCTCCCAGGGAGGGGGCGCCGCCGACCGGGCGGTGGGGGCCGCGTTTCCCAGCGATTCTCAGATTCTGGGTGCTGCCACTGTGGGTGCAGTTCAGGCCTCTAGGTTAGCTTATGAGAGGCACCCCCTGCCCCCCACTCCCCAAGTCGGCTCCCTAGGAGCAGTCGGGGTCAGCTGTGGAAGAGAAGCGTGCGCCCCTCCTCGCTGGAACCCTCTGGTCACTCACCAAAGGCCCGGTTTCCGGGCTCCTGCCTGCCGGACAGCATTTCCTGTCCAGGATCAGTCCCAGGAGCGCGGGTCCTGGACACGCCCCCGCCCCCCCAGCCCACCTGGTCCCCTGCTGCTGCCCCACCCTTTCCTTCCTGTGGCCCCGGCAGCCGCCGCCTGGGCCCTTTGCCCCTCCCTGTTCTCCAGGGGGCTGCTTCCATCCCAGCCTCCCCCCCCCCCAAGCTCCCAGCAACCCCCTGGCCTCCCCCCCACCCTCCCCTGCTGGTGATTCCCTGTCACGTGCCTGACAACATCCTGTCGGCGCATTCGTTTCCTCCCTTAAACGTGAACTTCATGCGGGTCAGAGCCAGGCCCGCCTGTCGGCCCTCTGTCCTGGGGGGAGGCCCCCCTCCCCCCGGGCGGTTAGGGGACTTCGGGCTGCAGGGAGTGTCCTCTGTCTGTGTGTGCGCGCCCCCCCTGTGATCTCCGTGTGCTGAGTCCCTGCGCTCTAACTCGGAGGTCAGGGACGTGGACTTCGAGGCCCTGAAGGCCGTGGTGCAGCTGGCGGAGCCCTGCCTCTGCGAGTCCCCGCTGAGCACCTTCACCCCCGAGTGCCTGCGCGAGCTGCTGGACCTGAAGGCGTGGCGGCTGCCCCTACAGGAGCTCTGGGTGGTGTTCGACGGCTCCGGCGCGCTCGACCAGACCGCGCTCGCCGTCGAGCACGTCAGGTAGGCGGTGGGTCTGGGGGAGACGGCTGGCCGCGCGGCCAGGGCGGGGCCCGGTGGGGGGACGCGGTGCTCCGAGGTGACGCTCAGACCGTCCCCTTGGTCGCTGCAGGATTTTAGAACACTCAAAGGCAGCCGAGTGTTTGTTAAATTGAAAAAATGTACGGAAGTGTTTGAAATTTCTGTCTCGACACAACTTCGGACTTACGGAAGGTTGAGAAGAGTGCAGAGAGGTCCGTGCTGTGGCCTTTACCTGGTGTCCCCACGCGTGTCGAGAGGGGCTCTGAGTCTGGTCTGCGCAGATGTGGAAATGGCCGCGCAGGTTCTGGACACCCAGCCTGCGGCTGACGTCCGTGAGAGAGAGGAGGGGAGAGCCAAGGACTGGAGGCCGTCCCGGGACCGGGGTGTCCGGTCGGCGGGGGCCTCTCCTCCAGCCGCACCCCGGCTCCCGGCACAGCGCCGGGCTTCCCGCTGCCTCCGGCGTCGCGGTCTCCACAGGCGGCAAAAGGGCGGCTGGCGGAGAGCCGCCCTCCAGACTGGCCCTGGGTGGTCTCATCTGTGGCCCCCGACCCTCCCGGAGCTCCGTCTGAGTGCGCGCTGGCACCGGCGCTCGGAGGCCCCCGGGCGGCCGGTCACTCCTTCTAGGACGGAGTCCCACCCGGACTGCCACTGTGGGCAGACTCCTGGGGCCGGTGCAGAGGAAGGATTTCAGCGGCGCGTGGCCGCCACGGGCGGCAAAGGCAGCGCCCACTCCGTGGCTGATGGGGTTGCTGTGACCCTCCCCTTCCCCCCTCCCCACCACCCCTCACACTCCGGCTGGCGGCTGGATTCGAACGCCGCCCGTCTCCCTCCCAGGTTTTTCTACCAGCACATCTGGAGGAGCTGGGACGAAGAGGAGGAGGATGAGTACGACTACTTCGTCAGATGCGTGGAGCCGCGGCTGAGACTGTGAGTGTCCCCCGGGGACCGGGCAGGGGCCGGAGAGTGCGCTCCCTGTCGGTGCCCCCTGGGGGCGCTGCAGGGGCTCTGGCAGAACAGGCTGGTCAGCGGCAAACCGCCCCCTCCATGGTCTGGAATGGGGAGGGGGCGCTGATGGAGGGGGCTCGGGCCTCGGGGTCCTGGGGGAAGCAGACCTTTGGCTGAGGAATAAAGCAGCGATTTCAAACTGCGGGTGGCGGCTGTGCGGCTGTGCTTCTCTGTCAGACCCGTTCATCCCGCACTGCCCGGCCCGACCGTCTGTCCGCCCCTCGGTCCCTTCCTTGCGTCCAGAAGCACTTTCTGTCCTGTCTGCGTGTCGGGGCAGGTGTCGGAGCGAGAGAGCAGGCTCGAGTGTGTGTGTGTGTGTGTGTGTGTGTGAGGCAGACACACCCGTTGACCTTCCAGGCACTACGACATCCTGGAGGACCGCGTGCCCTCGGGGCTGGTGGCCGAGTACCGCAGCCGGCTGTCCCAGTGCGAGGACGTGTACCGGAACTTCCTGAGCCTGCGCAGCAGCCTGTCGGCCTGCGACTCGGACAGCGAGCAGGGGAACCTCTCCATGGTGGAGGGGCTGAAGCTGTACTCCGAGATGGAGCAGCTGAAGCAGAAGCTGAAGCTCATCGAGAACCCCCTGCTGAGGTGCGCGGGGCGGGGGGGGCGCCCACCCAGCCAGCCGGCGTCCCCGCCGAGCCCCCGTCCCCGAGCAGCCGCCCCCGAGCCCTCACGGCTCCATTTGGTCCCCCAAGGTACGTGTTCGGGTATCAGAAGAATTCTAACATCCAAGCCAAGGGCGCCCGTCCCCAGGGCCAGAAGGTCACCCACGTGGTGGCGTCCACCTTGACGGCGGGGCTGCTGCGGTCCCTGCTCCGGCACAGGCTGTGTCGCGAGCCCTGTGAGGAGGACGCCGAAGTCCAGGTGAGGGGAGTCTCCTGCTCCGGGCGGCCGCCCTCCTCCGGGCCTGCGCGGGTTCTCCCGAGCTCTGCGGGGTGTCACGGGGCCTCCCGGGCTGGTCTCCTGTGACGCGGGGGCCGGGCTGGCCCTGCCTTCGCGCGGCGCCTGTCCCTGCCTTCGCGCGGCGCCTGTCCCTGGGCCCGCAGCCCTGGGGGCGAGGCGGCAGCGTGGTGCTGGGCAGTGGTGCCGGTTGTGTGAGTGGCTCCTCGTGAGAGCGGGGCGTGGGACGCCCGCAGGAAGCCCGGTGCAGGGTGTCGTCGCTGTCTTCCAGTTCCACAGGGACCTGCTGTCGGCCGTCGGCGCCTGCTACGAAGGCGACACCGTCATCGTCTGTCCCGGCCACTACGTGGTGCACGGCCCCTTCGCCCTCGCGGACTCCATCGAGCTGGAGGGTGAGTGTCTGGACACGGAGCCAGCCCCTCCCGCAGGAGGGGCTGCAGGGGCGGGGCCAGCCCGGCCACCCCAGCCAGCCCCACGCACTGAGGGCAGTTAGGGCTCACCGGTCTGCGCGGGGCTGAGCTGCGGGGTTGGGGGGCGGGGCAGAGGGCTCCCCGTGGCACTGCCGCTTGTGGGGGAAGACAAGGACCCAGAGGACAGAGGCTGTGAGGTTAGAGAGAAGCATGTTTTCCAGATTGGGGGCAGTTTACGGAAAGGAAATCTCGTTTCTGGAATAAAAAATACCCCCAGCATATATTTTAAGAATATTTTTTACTTATTGCTTACTCTTATTTCACAAATGTTGTGGATATATCAGTACATTTTTTTTTAAAACTTAGGTTACTGTTGTGAAATTGAATAAAAAAGTCTAACCTTAATTTTTTAAAAGCTTGCGGAATGTCGCAAATCCTACCCACTCAACCTTGACCGGAGTGTGTGTTGAGAACTTTGCTGTGGAAGGGTTATGTTAAAACCAGCGTTTCAGCAGCGGTGGCCTCCTTGCACTGGAGAACGATTCCTCCCTTCGGGCGCCCGCGCAGTGCCCCCCCCGCCCCGTGTGTTTCCGTGACGCGTCCCATCTGGGGGCGCCTGTTCGCCGGCTCGCCAGGAGAGCTCCCTCCCAGTCAGCGAGGAGGCGGGGGCGGCCGGACGCCGTCTGTCGTTCCGGAGCTCGCGCAGATGTTCAGGGACTGTCGGCTGTGTTCTTTGCTTGTCTAACAAGTACACTGTCTCGTCGGGACTCCTCGCTCAGACACGGCCCGGCGGTCCCTTTCCAGCCGCTGGCCAGCACGCCGCCGCACCCCCTTTCCTGTTTCACGCGTGTATTTTTCATTCTCTCTTCTCCGAAGTCTGATGTGTAACGGGGGTGTGTGTGTGTGTAAATAGCTCATCTGCAGGGTAAATCCCCGCGACAGACACACTCCGCGTCTTGGCTCCGTGAAAATAGCGCCGGTGTTACAGACCGGGCGGAGGAGAAGAGCTCTCTTCCTAGACGGGCGAGGAAATGAGAATGCGACTATTGTCGCCGCGTCATAAGTGGCCACAGAGAGTTCTGGCGGTTACACCTCGGAGCGCACGGGCCGGCAGCCCTGTCGCTGGTGTGCGCCAGGGAGCTGGGCTAACGCCCAGCGGACAGACGGCCACGCGGTCAGCGGTGAAGGCCAGCGGCAGGGGGCGGGGCATCCGCAGGGGGCGGGGCATCCGCAGGGGGCGGGGCACTCAGCGCCTCCTCGCCTGGAGCTTCCATTCCCTTTGGGGGGGGGGGGCTGTATTGTTTTCATTGCTAAGAATAAGTACCTTCTTATGTCACAATCTGTTTTCTTCTCAATGTGGCACTTCAAAAATGTTTTTAACTTTTCTGGTAATTAAAAACGGCGGCCATCGTGGAAAAGGGGGCGAGGAGAGGCAGACATAGGAACGAGAAGAAAATGGGATCACGATGCAACTCCCCAAAGTGACCGATGGGAGGCGCTCCGCCTGGGGCGGTCTGCCTTCGCCTTCCGCCCGGAAGGGCAGCCTGAGCCCCGGCGGGTGGGAGGGGTGCAGTGCCTTCCCGCTTAACGAGGTCGCCGCTTTCCCTTAGGCGCACAGGCTGCCCTCCCCGGGGCGGGGGCACTGGGTGCAGCCTCGCCCGCGTGGTTCCGTTGAAGGAGGCGAGTCCGCCGGGTCTCCGGGCGCCCCATGCGCTCCCGAGCTCCGCGAGCCCGCCGGGAGGCCGGCCTGCGCTACGGGCTTCATGTCTGTAGCGATCCGGTGCCCCGGTGTGTTTCACTGGTTAAGGAGGCAGACCCGTGTTCCCATTAGCTAAAAGTGTTTTAAGTCAGCTTGTCAAATTTTAATACAGTCTGTTTAACAGAATATTAAAGTTAGATAATCTTGAAAAACGCTTAGGCTTTCTGAACCCCAGTGTATATTAGAATAATGGGATCTTAGAGTTGGGAAAAAAGAAACAACTTCTAAGGGGTATGCGCTTTAAAGCCCTTTGACCGGCTGCGAGAACCTGGGGTGACTGTTTTCAAGCGGGTCTGTAGGTGAACTGAGCGCGGAGCTGGTCGGAGACGGTTTCGGGGCGGGGTTCCTGGCCGGGAGCCCGCGGAGGGGTGGCTGTGAACAGCTGCGTGCTCTGGTTTAACGGGAAGGAGACTCTGCTCAGGCGCACCTGGCCTGACCCTCCCCGGTGTCCTCACGAGTTACCGCAACGCAAACGCCGCCGCGGCTCTTCGCGCTCGGCCCTCCCCCGCCCGTCCTGAGCAGCCTCGCTCCCCTCCCCCCTCCCCCGCAGGGTTCGGGCCCCCCGACGACGTGGTGATCGAGCAGCGGGGCAAGGGGGACACGTTCGTGGACTGCACGGGCGCCGACGTCAAAATCTCCAACATCAAGTTCGTGCAGCACGATGCGGTCGAAGGGATCTTAAGTGAGTACCTGGGTTTTTCGAGTACTATTTCTTCCAGGCTCCGAAGGAAACTGTGCTTTCCCTGGAAGATGCAGTTTGATGAAAGGCCACTCTGGAGTATGCAGGAGCCGATTAATGATTTATGAACATAGCATGATGACCTAGGAAGCTTTTTCCAAAGTGGAAAGTGGTTTGGCCTATTCCTGGAAGTTGGTTAGTGAGATAAGTGCCTTCCATGGGCCCACTCCTTTCCTCTGAAACGTCCCAAGGCCGCGACCCGCGTTGTTAGCGTTCGATTCAGCTCGAGGCGAGCCGGCCGTCTCCCTGGGTCCCTGTGCCCTTCCCGGGGCTGGGCCTCCCCTTCTTCTGCCTCACGTGCTCGGGGCAGGGACCCTCGGAGACCTTTTATGCTTTTTGTAACGAAAAGTGCTCTTCACCTTGATTCTACGTGTCTGAGGCCACGTCGTCCTTTTTTAAGCCTCCTGCTTTCAGACTTCAGATTTCAGACCCTCCCTGGAAGCAGATGTCATCTCACACATCCCAAACGTGTAACTGGCAGCCAAGCTCAGGTGGTGGCTGCCGGGAGACACCTGGCCCGTCTGCGCAGCTCCGGGCCCCCTGCCGCACGGAGCGGGGGCGCGTGCCCGCGTGTGACGCGTGTCCCCCTTGCAGTCATCCACCAGGGCCGGACTGCCGTGGAGAACTGCGTGCTGCAGTGCGAGACGACCGGCGTCACCGTGCGCACCTCCGCCGAGTTCCTGATGAAGACCTCGGACCTGTACGGGGCCAAGGTGCGTCCTCCCCGCCCTCTCAGGGCGGCGCTCGGGCTGAAGCTCCAACCGCGCCGGAAACTGTGGGCCGGGCTGGGAGGAGGATGCGCCCCCCCCCCCCCCCATTCTCGTTCTTTGGAGGGGTGCAGAGGCTTTGGGCTGAGTCGGCCAGACTTGGCGTGGGAGGTTCTGATTGGCCGCTTTCAAAGCAGGTCCGGGAGGGAAGTCATTAACCTTACACTTCGCCGTCACACCTTTGTGAGGGGTTGGGACACTTCAAGTTACCTTGGCACAGGATTTTGCAGCGGTTGTGCTCAGTTGCTTTTTCAAATGAGACTTTTCTTTTGAGGCGACTGTAGATTCACACGCAGTGGGAAGAGGTAACAAACCGGTCCCCTGAACGCATGCCCTGTCCCCTCCTTGTCACGTCCTGAGGAACCGCGGTGTGACAGACAGCACGGCCGGGGCGGCCTTGGCTGGGTCGCCTGACTCCCTCCTTCCCCACGAGGCTGCCCCCGGGCCTTGCGCCCACCTGCCTTCCCTTCCGGTGTCTCCGTGGCCCTCCCCTGCCCCTTCCCCGTCATTTCTTCCCTGCGAGAATGCTCTCCAAGCGGACTCCCAGTCTGTCAGCTCCCGGGGTGACACCCAGCACGACTTCTGGATCTCCGTCCAGGTGGCCACGTGGGCCAGTCCGTGGTCCCCCATAGCTGCCCCCCCCCCCCCCACGGAAGGAGGCTTGTGGGTAAAAAGGCCTCGACCTCATGCACAGGCCTCTGAGGGCATGGGGTCTCATCGCCCTGGGGCGGGCACCCTGAGGTGCGGCTGCTGCTCAAACCTGTTGAAGGGAACTGCCCAGCTGCTTCCCAGAGCAGACCCCCCCGCCACGGCACCTGAGCGGCCCAGCTGCTCTGCAGCCTCGCCAGCACTCGGGAGCTCCGCTGTTTGATTTTAGTCATCCTGACAAGTTGTGGTTTCAGTTCGCATTTCCCTAATGGTTAACAAGGAACGTTTTTTTTCTTTTGGTGAACAATTTTTCACGTGCGTATTTGCCATCCTTATCTCCTCCAGTGAAGTGTCTCCTCGTGACCTCTCCCATTTTCAGGTGGCGTTGTTCTCCTCCCCTGGAGGGTCTTGAGAGTCTGTGTGTTCTAGGTACCGGTGCCTTGTTGGGCTGCGGTTCGCTGACACGTTTCGCTGGTCTGTGGCCGGTCACATCCGGGTCCCACGGGCTTCTGTGCAGCAAAGGCGCCCTCGGGTGAAGGCCGGGTCACTGACTGTTGTCAGTGCTCTTGCTGTTAGATGTAAGAGCTCTTTGCTTAGCCCTAGATCTCGAAGATGTTCTCCTGTTTTTAATCCTAAAAATGTTGTAGTTCACCTTTTGCATGTAAGGCCGTGATTCATTTTTGAGTTAATTTTGGCGTAAGTGGGAGTTCCAGGTGAAGGTCCGTTTGTTTGCCGGTGGAGGTCCACCTGCAGCTGCCTTCCCGGAAAGGCGGTCCCTGGGTGGGCTGGCTTCCCCCTCGGCCCTGTGGCTGCCTGCCCCCCAACCCCCACCCTGCCTGCAGCTGCCCAGGGAGCCTGGGAATCGGGCCCAGGGGCCCCTCCCGCCTCATTCACCTCTAAAGTCTCTCTGTCATTCTAGCTCCTTTGCCTTCCAACACAGGTTTTAGAGAAATCCTGTCCCTATCTCCAGGGAACCTTGCTCCGGCTTCGATAGGAACTTGCTGAGCCTGTGTGTCAGTGTGGGGAGAGTGGGTGTCTTTTTTTTTTTTTTTTTAAGATTATTTACTTATTTATTTATTTATTTATTTTAGAGAGGGAAGGGAGGGAGAGAGACAAAGAGAAACATGAATGTGCGGTTGCTGGGGGTCATGGCCTGCAACCCAGGCATGTGCCCTGACTGGGAATCGAACCTGCGACACTTTGGTTTGCAGCCTGAGCTCGGTCCACTGAGCTACGCCAGCCAGGGCTGACAGTGGACATCTTGGTTCTGCCGAGTCTCACCTGGTGAACCCGCGCGTCTCCACTTCCATCTTTGTTTCCTTCGCCAGCATCGGGGTCGTTCACAGCATGCCAGCCTCGAGTGTGTTTTGTTAGATTTTTTCCTAAATATTTCATTTCATTGGAGGGGTCCTGATAGTGTATTTTTAAATTTCTATTTCTGTTTTCTGAGAATTTTTATAATGAAACTGTTCACTTTTTAAAAAAAGACTTGATTTATTTTCTTTTATAGAGGGGAAGGAGGGAGAAAGAGAGGGAGAGAAACATCAGTGTGGTTGCCTCTCCTGCGCCCCCTACTGGGGATCAGGCCTGCAACCCAGGCTGGGAATCAAACCAGTGACACTTTGGTTCATAGGCCGGTGCTCAGCCCACTGAGCCGCTCCAGCCTGGGCGAATGTGTGTTCACTTTTGTCACATGTCTTTTCTGCACTGTTTGATGTGGCCACATGGTATTGATTGATTGATAGACTGACTGAGTCCGGAAATGAGTGCTGATACTTGACCTAGTGCCGTGTTCGTGAGCACATGTGGGCTCTGAAAGCGGCGAATGATAGCCCGCTGGAAGTGGAGCAAATGGCAGCGGTCGTCAGAAACGCCTAGTGCGGTGTTCGTGAAACACATCTGCACTCGCACGGCGCTCACGTCTGAGAAGCGGCCCTGCCCTCCGAGAACCGGTGGTCACGGCCTCCCGTGGTGCCTTGCAGGGAGCGGGCGTGGAGATCTACCCTGGGAGCACGTGCACGCTGAGCGACAGCGAGATCCACCACTGCAAGGAGGGCATCCTCATCAAGGTGGGCGGCCCCGCCCCCGGGGCTCCGGAGCGCTTCCCCTGGGCGGGAGAACTCCCCAGTGGGGTTCTGGGCTTTCCGGTTTGGGCAAGCGTGAGCGGCGTGTGGACCTTAGTAACGGGACAGCCCGAGGTCCAGGGTCTTGTGGGAGCGCTGTGCTGGGTGTGGACCCGAGGGGGCGACAGAGCGCAGTGTCCCTCCGAGCTTGGGCCGCCGTCACGCGGCAGCAAGCATGGCTTTCGACTGCGTTTTTAGAGTCGCCTGGAAAACGTGCGAGTTTGAGGCAGGCGGCGCCAGGCAGCGCTGCTTGCAACACTGGTTTAAAGCATTTGTTTTCGGCGTCCCAGGACTTCTTGGACGAGCACTACGACCTCCCCAGAATATCCATGGAGAACAACATCATACACAACAACGAAGGCTACGGCGTCGTGCTGGTGAAGCCGACCATTTTCTCCGACCTGCAGGAGAGCGCCCCCGGCGGAGCCGAAGGTAGGCCGCGTCGCCTTGCTTCTGAGCAGGGCCGGGGGGACCGGCTGCAGCTCAGCCCTGGCAGAAGCTCGGGGTGAAAGGCGCTTCTGGCGGCTCGCTCAGAACCTCGCTGGGTGGCCCACCCTGCACCCCGCTTGGCTTTGTGTGACTGTGCAGAGGGAGGTGCCCTGCTGAGAGCCACGGCGGCCGCTCTTTGGCACGTGAAGGCCGGAGGCTGCGTCTCCTGGAGGGGATCGTGGAGTTTGCCGCAGCTTTTTATCGGTCCCGTGCAGGCCTCCCGTGGGCTGTCTCAGCAGCAAAGCTGCACTGATGCGGTGGGAGGCTCGTGCATTTCAGGCCAGGACCCAGACAGCTGTGGGATCTCAGCCGCTGAGCAGGGTTAGGCGTTTGTGGGGGGCAGCCCCACCATCCAGGGCCTGCTCCAGCTCGCTCTCTGCAGCCCCCTCTGCTCTCTCAGTCCCAGGTCCCTGTGCAGGCTGGGCTTGGGGCCTCGCGGGCGACACCGAGCTGCCAGCCGGCCAGGGCTCCCACCTGAAGTTCTGGGGGAGCATCTGCTGAGCTCACTCGGGCTGCTGGCGGGACCCGCTGCCTTGAGGTGCAGGGCTGACGTCCCCACGCACTTTCTGGAGGGCCCCTGACCAGTCACCTTCCACACATCTGCGCAAGCCTTTTGCCCGCTGTCGGTTGGGAAGGTGACAGCCAGGGCAGGCGCCCGGGGCGCCGAGCGGAGTGAGCACGCACAGGGCCCAGCCAGGGACGGAGCCTGCGGGGTCAGAAGAGAGAAGTGCAGAGTTGGTTATGGTGCGAGGGTCAGGAGACCTTGCCGCAGGGGCAAGGCCACCGTCCACTGTGACACTGGTGGCAGTTTGTCACATCCAGTGAGGGCACAGCGGGGATCCTGAGCCGGAAAACCTTGAAAGCTCTGATCGACTGGAATCGCAGGTGGGCTGGGTTCGTCTGTATATTGAACTGTGTGTGTTTTTCCAGACAATAAAGCCCTGAAGTCCCAGACCAGCCGAGAGGCAGAGGCGGCCGAGAGAGTGGACCTGGAGGAGCTGATTGAGTGCGCGGCGGCCGGGAGGGCGGGGCTCGGCGCCAGGCCCGGCCTCCCGGAGCAGGTCGAAGGCAACTGCGAGATCGTCAGCGAGCTGGTGGCGGCGTCCACCCAGAAGGGCCGGATGAAGAAGAAGAGGCTGAGCGAGCTGGGGATCACGCAGGCGGACGACAACCTGATGTCGCAGGAGATGTTCGTGCGCATCGTGGGGAACCAGTTCAAGTGGAACGGCAAGGGCAGCTTCGGCACGTTTCTGTTCTGACCTGGCGCTCAGGCAGTGGGGGGCGGGGCGCGGCACCCGGCCCGGGATCCCTGCCGCCCTGGCCCTCCTCCTCGTCCGTGCAGATTCGAGTGCCGGTGGGCTCCCGGCTGCAGGCGCACAGAGAACGTGCCGGGTGTTTAAGAGGCGCTAAAGTCATGTAAAGTAGAAGGTGCTGCAGACTTCGTGCCTAGAAAGGCTTGCACGGTTCTGTGACATTGGGCCTACTGGTAACCTCCCAGTGTAAATACACTTCAGCGACCCAGCACTTCCGAGAGCAGGAGGGAGTCGGGGGACGCGGGGCGGGGCACACGCTCGCGGTCCGGGTCGGTTGCGCAGACTTCCCGCGGTGTCCGCTGCTCCTGCGCCTGGCGTCCGTGGCGTCTGGGCGCGGTGCCCGTCTCAGGAGAGCGGCTGTTCTAACCGGGGCTGCCTGCCTCACAGCCTCTGCCCCAGGGCGGGGGCTGAGGCGACCCGCGTCGCCGTGGAGACAGGAGATGACGAGAGCAGTTAGCGGCAGAGGTGCGGTGAGCCACCCTGAGCCAGGGCCTCCGCCGGGCGCTGCTGCTGGGGGTGCTGATGAAACCGAAGCTGGCGCCTCACCGCGGCGGCGCTCTGATCCAACCGCGTGCAGACCACACCCGGTGCGCGCCGCGCCGGCGCTGTGCTGCACCGTCAAGTGCAAAACCCGCCTTTTAAAAATATTTATATTAAGAGATACTGTATGTGACATTAATATGTCTATTGATTAAAATTATACTGATGAACTAACAAATCGAATCTTGTTGTATTTTTCCAAACGCCTTATGGGCCGGAGTGACCCTTTGAAGTACAAACAATAGTCGATGACATTTCAGATACTATATTTTTCAGCCCAAGATGGGGTTTTTTGGGGGGCGGGGGTGGGAGGACTCTAATATCTTTCTCTTCCTCACGATTACTCAGGGCCCGGCAGAAGGCAGGCCTGCCTGAGCGTGGTTGGCAGGGCGGTCATGTGGGTGTAAAGATTTATAGTTTTAATGCGAACGTTTCACCTAAAAACGTCCTATGATGTGCTTGAGTGCGGTAGTGTTATGCTACAGAGTTACATGCATTGGTTTTGTTATTCCAGAGTTTGTAATAAAAAAAAAGGGCGTTCTTCCTGCCGGGCCCTGCATTTCTGCTTCCTCGAGCGCGTGGGACAGATCTAGGGTAACTGCTGTAGAATCTTTGGCTGCGGGCTTGATCTCGTTCTGTTGCTGTGAGTTCATTTTCCTCCTGGTCGCGGGGACTACTTCCTGGCGTCTCTGCCGCCTGCTTGCTTCTGATTGGATGCCGGGCGCCGCGACGTTTGCGTCGTTGCCGGAATTTGTTTTGTTCCTCCGAGCCGCGCTGGCTTTGTGCCCGGCGTGCAGGTATTCGGCATCCGGTGAGTCCTTCTCATGTTTGCTTTTAAGCTTTTTGTTGGGCCTTTCCGGCGCGACTTGCAGTTTAGGGGTAGTTTACCCCTGGCCCGGCCTTTTTTTTTTTGGTTAGAATTCTGTCTGGTAGCTCGTGTGTTAGGAAATCTCACTCCGGCCGGCAGAGGGGACAGTTTGTGCGTCTTCTGTGTCCCGGCCTCGGGCAGTTCCTTCTCACACCCACGCAGGCTGGGACTCAGCCGGCCCTCGGGGCCACCGCAGGTCCCTGGGCCTCCCTTCTCTGTCCACCTCTCCTCCGGGACTCGGCCTGGCGGGCCCTGGGCACCGCGGTCTGGGCTCTCGTCTCGGAGGGAGCCGACTCCTGTCTTCTGACCTCGGCCAGTCGCCGGGCTCCGTCCCTCCCCACCCCAGTCCCGGAAACCCCTCCAGGCCCCGAGCGGGTCCGGTTGCCGAGCTCGCCCTGCCCTTCCCAGGTGCCCCGGGCCTGCGTGGCCCTTGTCTGCCCCCGGGGACCCGCCGTCTCCCGTGTTTGTCCGGCTGTCTCGTCCTGTAGGGAGTGAGGGTAAATCGGATCCGTGCCTCTAAGCCTGCACTAAACGTGGACGTCTTGCGTCCTGTGGGTCGGGGCCATTCCGAAGGGAGTGGGGCACTCCGCCATCAGCAGTGTCCGGCTGCTACCCGGTCACGTGTCCCGGTTTCTCTAGCTTGTTTCTGTCGAGAGCTTCACTGGGATGGTCGGTGTTTGGTCATAAGAACGTTTTTGCAGCATTTAAACAAGAGGAACGGAGTCACCGCTAGCTGGCAAATAACCTCTCTGGCTCCTGCTCCGCTGTCGGGCCGGTGGACCAGCACCGTTCTCCCTGAAACGTTGGAATGAATCTCAGTGCGTAGCGACTGAAAGGCCATTTTGAATAAAGTCGGACCCATTTACCAAGCAATTAAAAACTAATTAGCATCTTTGCATTATGTTCCTGGGAGGCGTCGTCCGTGGCCGGTAGAATGTTCCTGCAGCATCTGGTGTTCTGACTCGGGCCTGCCCTCCGCCCAAGGTGGCTGACGGGCGGTTCCAGGCCAGCAGGACAGGGCACCACTCCCTCCCCCAATGCTCCCACTCGGAAGGCTGCTGCTCAGCTCCGCCCCGCCTGGGCCGCCCTGGTGCGGGAAGAGAATGCTCTGCCCTTAGCTTTCCTTCAGTGCTTCCGATGGGGCGGGTGAGCAGTTTCACACTTTCTAAAGTAATATATGTTACGCTTTACAGCCCTAGAAACCTATTTAATTCCCTGTCATTGCCTCTAAAATGCATTTCAGGTCTGTCGTCGTTGGTAAAATGCTCAGAGTCATTGGAGAATCGTTTCCGACTGGGTGTTTACATCCAGAATCTGCTAGTGAGACAGACCCCCGCAGGGCCGGGGGCGATGCCCCGGCTGGCTTCCCACATGGCGTGGGTGTGTGGTCGGAGCTGACCGTCTCCTGGGTCCTGCCATCCAAGGAGGCGGAGAAAGGCCGACAGATGTCATCCTCCTCGTTTTGGAAAGTCACTTCGTCTCGGTCACGGGGCTTTCTTCTGAAGCCATTTTTCCCTTCTTTTAAATAACCATTCTGTTAAGTCAAGAGTCTATAATTCTATGTCCCACTGAGGTTGTCCCTGAACTTGAAAAGCAGGATCCACGGCCGCAGTTCTGAAGCTCGCACGTCTGGGCGGCGGCCGACCATCCAGCGGTGGCCAGAGAGCGGCTGCGGGGCTCTGGGGCGCCCGGGACAAGAAACAGCCTCCTGGCGACAGATGTCGTGGGTCTTTATTCTGCCTTGCTCCCGGGGATGGGAGTGTCTCTCGGGCTGTGTGTCACCGTCACATCGGTCCCAGCTCCTTGGTGCCCCGGTGCGTCTCCTGCTTGGAAAGGGCACCTGGAGACGTTCTCCGTGTGCTGGGCACGGGGCATGGAGCAGAGAGGAAGGCTGGGGGGGCCTCGGGCTGAGGGTGGGCGTTGGGGCAGGACTCTAGAATGTCCCTGGGTGGCGGCTGTTGGGCCAGGGCGTCATCGTCATTTTTCAGTGCCAGGCTCTCGGGCCGCCGTGGGGAAGTCGCTCACGCCCGCCCCGGCCGGCCTGGGTTCAGAGCGGGGCCGGCTGCCCCAACTCGGCCGGAACTTGGGTCACGTGGGGTCACGACTCCAGACTGGGGCCTGGAATTCCATTCCCCAGTCACCTAGAGGGAGAGATTGGTTTGAGGGTGCAGTCAGTGTGACTCCCCAAACCTCGAGAGACCTGGAGAAGGCAGCGGCTTGGCCTGAAGGGGGCCCTCCCCTGAGTGGGGGCGAGGAACTCGGGAGACAGAGGCGGGAGGCAGCCCCGCGCCCGCAGGGCCCCGGGGTGGCACACTCCCTCCGGCCAGGCGACTCGGCCCGAGTGGAGAGAGCTGAAGTCACCGTCGGACTCCAGGGGAGACCCTCCGCCCGGCGGCCCCCAGAGCTGCTTGGTGTGGCCTGCGTGGCGCTGAAATAATCCGGTTAGTGACAAAGGAGGACTGTCACAGGAGCCGCCTCTGCTTTTAATCCGCTCGGGCACGTGTGACTCGCACACCTGGCACACCCGGCGGGGGCCGCCCCGGCTCCCGGTTCCCAGCGCCCCTCGGTGAGCTGGGTCGGCAGCAGGCGATTCAGCTCCTGCCCTGGGGGGCTGGGGGGGGGCACCTGTCGGCCTCCCCCGCCTTCCTGGGGTCTGGAGAATCGCTGCCCCGCTGGGCACACCCGTCCCGTGAAGCCCCCTGCCCCGTGCAAAGGCGGCGGGCTCTCCTTTCCTGCATTTTTCCCCGCGTCCATAAGGAGTCCCGCCCTCGCACTGTCTCGCCTGCCTGCCAGTGGTGTGGTGTGACATTGATCCTTCCCCACCCCCCGAACGTCACCCTAGTAACAAATCAATTCCAGCACCTGCGCGTGTCCGACCTGGGCGGGGGGGCGGCTGTGTGGAAGCCCGCCCCCCGCCCGCCGCCCCCTTTGTGAGGGCCACGCATCGGCCGTGATGGATGGAGGACATTAGTGAGGGGAACTTAGCACCGTTTTGATTTATTCTGTTTACTTTGAAACTAGTTTTCTCACTTGCCAAGTGGATTAATTATGAGAAATGAGTTACGGGCTGGGCGGGGAGGGAGGGAAGAAGCCTGGCATTGAGAGTCCCCCATCCAGGGGCCGTGTGGCCGAAGGGCCACCGCGCCCTGCTGGCCCTGCGCTGTGGCCTCCTGCCCTGCCCTGCGGTGACAGCGGCGGGCACAGGGTCCCCGAGTCACCCAGGCGTTTCCTGCCGGAGGGGCGGGCTGGGGACAGAGCGCACGCACCCTCTTCTGGTGGCAACCTGATTCCCACGGCCTCACTCAGGGTCTCCACCTAGTTTGTCATTTCCCCAGGACCGATGGCCTTTTCCTTCAGGACACTGACGCGTCAAATGCAGTGACATCAGTCACCCTGAAACCCATGTGATCTTATTAACGGGGGTCACCCCAATACATTCAATTTAAAAAATAACGTTCCTGAAAACAAATGGGGGAAAAAGAGGTACGTTTGCTGATAGGGACTGGCTCCCTGGGGACGCCAGAGGAGCCCCCTGGGGCAGAGCCCAGTGTGGGGGCCCCCTCCCCCCCACCCCGCTCATGTGCTCAGAGACGCCCTCCAGGGGCCAGGCTCCCACGGCCCCGCGGGCCCTTCAGCGTCCCCCGGCGCACGCGTCGGGGTGACCTTGTCACTAGGAACTGAGTCCTGGCTGCATTCAACGTCAGGGGCAGGGGCTGCCTTTGCCGTCTGGGCGGCGGGGGCGGGGGTGCGGATCGCCCCGTCACAGTGGAGGTGGGACCCCCGAGGAGGGGGTGCGTATCCACCGCCCGGAGGAAGAGAGCATTCCCAGAGGGGGAGTGACCACCCAGCCACCCCGGCGTCCGGCCCTCCTGAAGATCCGAGCCGCCCCAGAGTGGATGGCGCGGCTGGCGGAGGCTTCCTCCAGGGGAGGCTGCCGCTCCCCCTCCCTGCCCCCCTGCCCCCCTGCCCCCCTGCCCCCCCCCCCCCGCCACAGGAAACCCTGTCATCCAGCCCGGGGCCTTGTTCACCGGGGAAGTAAGACACGGTTGGTCACCAGGATGCAAAGCGGCTTCAGGGACACCCACTGTGTGTGAAGCCGTGAGAGCCCCTGAGAAGGAGACGGAGCCGGGGGGTGGGGGGCGTTGGGGGGGGCGTTTGGGACCCGAGGCCATGCAGCCACAGTGTGACTCCGACAGGGAGGCGGGGCCCGGGGAGGGTGGGGTCGGTGCCACAGGAGGGGCCGCCCAGGCAGAGCCCTCCAGGGGCTCAGGGCCTGGTGTCACAGGTGCAGGCCTGGCCGAGG